TACTGGCTGAACAACTGCAAGGATTCACTTAACAACTGCGGCAAGGGAGGTGGTTCAATTGGGACGAAACTCACTTAGCGACGGTCTTGCTTCGGAATGGAAACCGTGGGCTCAATTGTGGCCGTAAGCCAAGGACTACTTATACCCATGCATCAGCAAGGGTCTTAGAGGGTAGTTTTCGAGCATTTTGGTATCTTAGAAACTCAATTAGCATAACAGAGTTGGAAGGGACCTGGTAGGTCATCTAGTCCAACCCCCTGCCCAAGCAGGAGATCCTATAGTATACCATTTCTGACAGATGGTAGTCTTGAAAGGGACTGAAGGTAAGCTGTTGCATTCCTATCATGGGTTGCGAAGAGATTATATCGATTTAAAAACCCGAAATAAACCCACCACTATTAAAATTGCGCCCGTTCTACCGCTTAGGAAGGGAGAGGAAGTGATGTCACCAGTCTGCTGATGACATCATCTGCTCGATGACATCATGGCTTCTCTCTTCGCCAAGGCCGTTCAAAAGCGGGGATTTCAATCCCCATCTTCCTTTGCCTGACCGTGAACTGGGACGGTTACAAAATCACAAGGAACTGAGAAATTGATTGATTTATTAGACTTATTAGATTTATTAGGCGGGCTGAAGGATTCTGGGAGTTGAAGTCCACCCCTCTTCAAGGGCTAAGATTGAGAAACATTGAGATATTTTGGACTTCCTCCGAGCGCTGGGATAGGACGGAGGCAGAAAAGGGGTGGACTTCAACTCCCAGAATCCCCCAACCAGCCAGGCTGTCTGAGGGATTCTGGGAGTTGAAGTCCACCACTCTTCTGCCTTCATCCTATCCCTCAGTGTTTCTCAATCTTAGCCCTTGAAGAGGGGTGGACTTCAAGTCCCAGAATCCCCCAACCAGCCAGGCTGGCTGAGGGATTCTGGGAATTGAAGTCAATCCCTCTTCTACCTTTGTCCTATCCCTCAGTGTCTCTCAATCTTAACTCTTGAAGAGGGGTGGACTTCAACTCCCAGAATCCCCCAACCAGCCAGGCTGTCTGAGGGATTCTGGGAGTTGAAGTCTACCCCTCTCCCCACTTCGTCCTATCCCAGCGCTTGGAGGAAGTCCAGAATATCTCAGTGTTTATCAATCTGGGTACTTGAAGAGGGATGGATTTCAACTCCCAGAATCCCTCAACCAGCCAGGCTGGCTGAGGTATTCTGGGAGTTGAAGTCCACCCCTTTTCAAAGTGGTTAAATTTGAATAATACTGCTCCATCAGGAAGGTAATTTTTTCCATATATAGGAGCACACAGGGAATCCTCAACTTCAAACCCCGAAAATTTATAGCGAGACCGTCGTTAAGTGAGCATTGCCCCCTTTTACGACCCTTCCTCCCACAATTGTTAAGTGAATTGTTAAGCAACTAACACAGTTGTTCAGTAAATCTGGCTTGTCAGAAGGTCGCAAAAGGAGGATCACATCACTGCAACTGCCGTAAACATGAGTCAGTTCCCAAGCGTCCTCCGAATTTTGATCACATGACCATGGGGATGCCGCCACGCTCAGCCGCGTGTGTGAAAAATGGTCATCGTCATCCCATCTTCCCATCGGACGGTCACTAAACGAATCGTCAGTCGAGGATGACCCAAACATCAGATTTCCACATGGCGTTTGGGAGCCTAGAAATGATACGCTGAGCTTTCACACCGCCGAACGACGGTTGCCGAAGATGAGGAAACTCCTCCTGCATTTCACCTCTGGCTAATCTCTCCCTTCCCTGCGTGGTCGGAAAGGTGACAAGAAGGAACAAGCTGTGGTTTGTTTGTTGCTTGTTCTTCCTTGTTCTCCGGGGTGACGCAAGACGTTTGAGTTTCTGTTGATCTCTCTCAGATGGACGGCTTTTTCCGCGCAACAACCCCAGAGGTCAGCCGGCCTGTAAACGGGATGTTTTCCATGCCGGTGGCCTTAGGCCAAATAGGTCACTGCTGCTGTTTTCGTTCCCTCGGACAACGGTGACATCAAGCCACCGTTGAAGGGCCTTGGGTTCTTCCTTTCTATGTGCCCTGACGGTGAGATTTAACCTCGGGTTACGGCCTTCACGGCGGGTTGCTGAACTCTTAAGCAATGCGTGGAAACTCCTCAAGGAGAGAAGCCACTGAGAACGAAGGAGAAATTTCCCGAAATTGAGTTCCACGACTGGCCGGCGGAACTGCCTGCCACCAGATGTTGTGGGTTCTTCTCTCCAACATGGGAGGATTTTGAGAAGAAAATTGGACAGCTATTTTTGGTCAGGGCTTACAATGGTTGGTTTAGTGCCGGGGAGTCAAACTCAATTTCATTGAGGGCCGCATCAGGGCTGTGGTTGACTTCGGGGGCCCGGGTGTGCGTGGCCGGCTTGACGCCACTCCCCAAACTGCTGGCATGTTTCCTCTTCGCATTGGGTAGACCAGGCCGAAGCCACGCTGGCCCAATGTTGCCTCTTCACATTGGATAGACCGGGATAAAGCGACATGGCTGGCCCCATTTTCCAAGACTGGATCTGATCACATCCAGAGGTGGTAGTCAGCCGGTTCGGACCGGTTCGCCGGAACTGGTAGCGGAAATCACAGGTGCCCCCCACCGCATCTCCCTGGCTCTATGCTATTCTATTTAGGCACCTTTTTGAGGCTGGGAGCACGAACAAAGTGTATGCAGGAAGGACGTGCGCATGCGCTCACATTTGCGAACCGGTAGGGAAAGTAAGTGACTACCACCCCGACCGAATCGCAGGCCGAATCCGGCCAATGTGAGGCCTTGAGTTTGACACCCCTGGTTTAGTGTCTGTTCGAAGTTACAAGGCCACTGAAAAAATGTGTCTCGGACCATTTTGCATCCTTACGATTGTTGCCGCATCCTCACGATCGCGGGGTCAAAATTCAGACACCCGGCACTTGGTTCCTATTTATGACGGTCGCAGTGTCCCGGGTCACGTGATCCTCCTTTGGTGATCTTCCGACGAGCAAAGTCCAGGAGAGAGACAGATGCACTGAACAACCGTGTGACTGACTAACCGTCTGCGGCGATTCGCTTAACGGCGGTGGCAAGAAAGGTCGTAAAACAGGGCAAAACCCGCTTCACAAGTGTTTCACAGAGCAACAGGAATGTTGGGCCTCAGTTGCGGTCGTAAGTCGAGGACTACTGGGAGCGTCTCCTGCTCGAGCAGGAGGTTTTATTTATTTTATTTTTTTATTCAAATTTATATACCGCACCTTCTCCCGAGGAACTCGGGGCGGTGTATAGCCAGATAAAAAACATACAATACAAACATTAAAAAGAATTAAAGAGATATATATTAATTTGGCCCCAGTTTAAAATAACAAACCAATTAAAAATATTTTAAAAATATATTAATATATATTATATTTCTAAGTTGGACTAGAAAACTCCAAGGCCCCTTCCAACAATTCTGTTGGCCAAAAAAAGCCAATGGTATCCTAAATTGCATCAACAGAGAGATACAATAAAGATCAAGGGAGATACTAACACCACTCTAGAAAGCCTTAGTAAGACCACACCTAGTGTACTCCGTCCCGTTTTGTTATAAAAAAAGATGTTGAGACTCTAGAAAGAGTGCAGAGAAGAGCAACCAAGAGGATTAGGGTAGGGGTGAAATTCAAAAATTTTTCCCTATTGGTTTTGTGGGCATGGCTTGGTGGGTGTGGCAGCGGAAGGATACTGCAAAATCTCCATTCCCACCTCACTCTGGGGCCAACCAGAGGTGGTATTTGCCGGTTCTCCGAACTACTCAAAATTTCCGCTACCGGTTCTCCCGAACCTGTTAGAACCTGCTGGATTTCACCTCCGGATTAGGGGACGGGAGGCTAAAACATACGACGAACGGTTGCAGGAACTGGGCCTGGCTAGTCTAGTGAAGAGAAGGACCAGGGGAGACAGGATAGCCATCTTCCAATATTTGAGGGGCTGCCCCAGAGAGGAGTGGGGGGTCAAGCTGTTTTCCAAGGCATCCGAAGGCCAGACAAGGAATAATGGATGGAAACTGATGCAGGAGAGATTCAACCTAGAAATAAGGAGAAATTTTCTGACAGGGAGAACAATCAACCGATGGAACAGAAGTTGCCTTCAGAAGTTGTGGGAGCTTCTTCACTGGAGGCTTTCAAGAAGAGACTGGACTGCCATTTTGTCAGACATAGTGTAGGGCAGTGATGGCTAACCTTTTTGCCGTTGCGTGCCAAAAGCGGGAGGAACGCGGGATGGTCACCCGCGTGTATGCCCACAGCCATAATTCAATGTCCCCTGCTCCCTGTGCATGCGCATGTGACTCCCCCATGCTCCCCTGCTTTTGGCATGTGATGGCAAAAAGGTTACCGGTGAGCTCGGTAGGCTAGGCCTGTTTTTTCGCCCTCCCCAGGCTCCAGAGGCTTTTTTGGAGCCTGGGGAGGGCGAAAACGGCCTTCCCCACCCCCCTGGAGGCTGGAAACAGCCTGTTTACCGACTTCCAGTGGGCTCAGAAGGCCCATTTTTCGTCCTCCCCAGGCTCTAGAGGCTTTTTTGGAACCTGGGGAGAGCGAAAACGGCCTCCTCCACCCACACCCCGAGGCCTTCCGGAGGCCGGAAATGGCTCGTTTCCCGACTTCCGGTGGGCCCACAAGGCCCAAAAATCAGCCGGCCAGCACGCGCGTGAGCACTGGAGCTGAGCTAGGGCAACGCTCGTGTGTCAACAGATATGGTGGCACGCGTGCCATAAGTTCGCCCTCACGGGTGTAGGGTCTCCTTGGGCGGGAGGGGGTTGGACTAGATGACCTACAAGGTCCCTTCCAACTGTGTTACTCTGTAATCTACATGAGATGCCAGCATTTTATCTCCTTAAAATGTTCTCAGGAACATTTCCTCAATGTTCTGACTTGTTTTTACTTCACGAGTCGGAAACGGTTTGGGTTGAAAAGCGTTGGGTTGAGTTGGGAGAAGGTGAGGTCAGTGGGGTGGTGCCTTCTTCACGGTCTTCCTTGTTTCTCCTCAGTGCTACTGACATGGGTGAATTGCGCCAGCGTCCGCTGGGCAACCCGCGTCCAGGATATCTTCACCGCCGGGAAGCTGCTGGCTCTGGCCTTAATCATTATCATGGGAATTGTGCAAATTTGCAAAGGTGAGGACTTGTCGGATCCAACCGAGTGTATTATTTCCAACACTTGGTCTGGAATGGTGTAGGGCAGGGGTCTCCAGCCTGGGCCACATTACAACGTGGGGACTTCAACTCCCAGAATGCTTGCTGAGGAATTCTGGGAGTTGAAGTCCACAGGTGGTAAAATGGGGGTTTCCAGACTTGCCTGCTTTACGACTCGGGGATTTCAACTCCCAGAATGCTGGCAGAGGAATTCTGGGAGTTGAAGTCCACAGGTCGTAAAATGGGGGTTTCCAACCTTGGCTTTACGACTTGTGGACTTCAACTCCCAGAATTCCTCAGCCAGCATTCTGGGAATTGAAGTCCTCAAGTCGTAAAGCAGGCAAGGTTGGAAACCTCCATTTTACAACTCGGGGATTTCAACTCCCAGAGTGCTGGCTGAGGAATTCTGGGAGTTGAAGTCCATAAATTGTAAAATGGGGGTTTCCAATCTTGCCTGCTTTACGACTCATGGACTTCAACTCCCAGAATGCTGGCTGAGGAATTCTGGGAGTTGAAGTCCACAGGTTGTAAAATGGGGGTTTCCAACCTTACCTGCTTGACGACTCATGGACTTCAACTCCCAGAATGCTGGCTGAGGAATTCTGGGTTGAAGTCCATAAGTTGTAAAATGGGGGTTTCCAATCTTGCCTGCTTTACGACTCATGGACTTCAACTCCCAGAATGCTGGCTGAGGAATTCTGGGAGTTGAAGCCCACAGGTCGTAAAATGGGGGTTTCCAACTTTGGCCTCTTTACGACTCGGGGACTTCAACTCCCAGAATGCTGGCTGAGGAATTCTGGGAGTTGAAGTCCACAAGTGGTAAAGTATCCAGGTTGGAGACCTCTATTTGAGCAGCGGGTTGGACTAGAAGACCTCAGAGGCCCCTTCCAACTCTTGTAATTCTGTATTTCTCCTGCCGTATTGGTGGTGGAGAGGTTTGCAAAGGTGTAAACGGGGGGACATGGACGCCATTTTGGGATGGTTGGATTTACAAGGTGGGAGTAGTTTCCTGCCCACGGGGAAGAAGGAGAATGGGAGATACACCTGGTTGGGGAAAGGGGGATTAAAGAGAAGAGACCCCCCATCATCATGGCTGAGGATGTTTTCTTTGGTGTTGTCCTTGACGTAGGAGAGTACTTTTGGCTGGAACCCAAAAATGCCTTCGAGTTCTTTCAAACTCCAAATGTGGGGCTGGTTGCTTTGGCCTTCTTACAAGGATCGTTTGCTTACGGGGGCTGGAACTTCCTCAACTACGTCACCGAAGAGTTGGTGGACCCACACAAGTGAGTGAGAGCCCCTCCTGGGTGGTGTGGGAGGTGGAGAAGGCCCACCTCGATCTCCGCTCCAACCTTCCGCCACTTCAACTCTTTCCGTCCTCCACAGAAACCTGCCTCGAGCCATTTTTATCTCCATTCCCCTGGTGACCTTCGTCTACGTCTTCGCCAATGTAGCCTACGTCACGGCCATGTCCCCTCAGGAGCTTCTGGCCTCCAACGCTGTGGCGGTGGTGAGTCTCCATCAACGACGTTCAGATTCCTCTTGGGTTCCCGGCAAATGGACCCCCCCCTAACATCTCCTCGTTCCTTTCTCCACAGACATTTGGGGAGAAACTCTTAGGAGTGATGGCTTGGATCATGCCCATCTCTGTGGCTCTCTCCACCTTCGGAGGCGTCAATGGATCTCTCTTTACTTCCTCCAGGTGAGTAGATAGACCTGACCTCCAACCGACAGGGTGGATTTCCCAACCTTGATCACAGTTGAATTTGCGGATGATACGAAGCTGGCAGGAATAGCTAACACCCCAGATGGATCTTGACAGACCTGAAGCCTGGGCCCTATCTAACAAAATGAAATTCAACGTAGAGAAAAGTCTTACACTTAGGCAAGAAAAACTCAAAGTAGACCATATAGACGGAGTGAAACCAGGCTTAATAGCAGTCACTGTGAAAGGGATCTTGGAGTCTTAGTGGCAGGGTGGATTTGATTTAAATCGAGTCGATTTAAATCATGATTTAAATCATGATTTAAATCACTAGTAAAAAGGCTTGATTTAAATCAACTCGATTTAAATCATAATTTTTAAAGAGCAACTGTCATCTCTGCTACTCCTTTGACCTGCTGTTGACTCACCGATAGTCCCAGTGTTGCAGAATATACAGCCTTGTGCTACGTAACTAAGCTCCATTTCATGCTGAATAAACTAAATTGTTTATGTATCTTAAATAGAAAACTATCTTACGATAGATTTTTACCCCAAAAGTTTTTTATTAAAATAAATTCAATAAAAATAAAAAAAAATCTGATTTAAATAAAAAAAATCCGATTTAAATAAAAAAAATCCGTTTTTTTTTTAAAAAAATCATTGATTTTTATCCACCCTGCTTAGTGGACAACCAGCTAAATATCTAACGCTATCTAACAAAACGAAATTCAATGGTGAAAAAAATTAAGGGTCTACATTTAGGCAAGAAAAACAAAAGAGCCTTGATAATACAGTGGTCTACGCACCCTGTTATTAACACAGCTGCCTGCAATTTACTGCTGGTTCGAATCTCTCCAAGGCTCAAGGTTGACTCAGCCTTCCATCCTTTCTAAGGTAGGTGAAATGAGGACCCAGTTTGTGGGGGCAATAAGCTGACTTTGTATAAATATACAAAAGTATGAAGGCTATTGCTTAACGCATTCTAAGCCGCCCTGAGTCTCCGGAGAAGGGCGGCATATAAATCAAATTAAAAAAAATTAAAAAAAAATAAATGCACAGGTACCATATATGTGGTACCTTGCTCAATAGTAGAAACTGTGAGAGGGATCTTGGAGTCCTAGTGGACAACCATTTAGATATGAGCCAGCCGTGTGCGGCGGCAGCCAAAAAAGCCAACACAGTTCTAGGCTGCATAAACAGAAGGATAGAATCAAGATCACGTGAAGTGTTAATACCACTTTATAATGCCTTGGTAAGGCCACACTTGGAATCCTGCATTCAGTTTTGCTTGCTACGATGTAAAAAAAGATGTGGAGACTCTAGAAAGAGTGCAGAGAAGAGCAACCAAGAGGATTAAGAGGCTGGAGGCTAAAACATACGAAGAACAGTTGCAGGAACTGATTACGTCGATTTTGATGAAAAGAAGGATTGGGGGTGGCATGGTAGCAGCCTTCCAATATCTTGGGGCTGCTCCAAAGAAGAGGGAGTCAAGCTATTCTCCAAAGCACCTGAAGGCAGGACAAGAAGCAATGGGTGGAAACTAATCATGGAGAGAAGCAACTTAGAACTAAGGAGAAATTAACTGACAGTTAGAACAATTCGTCAGTGGAATAATTTGCCAACAGAAGTTGCGAATGCTCCAACACTGGCAGTTTTTAAGAAGATGTTGGATAACCATTTGTCTGAAGTGGTGTAGGGTTTCCTGCCTAAGCAGGGGGTTGGACTAGAAGACCTCCAAGGTCCCTTCCAACTCTGTTATTCTATTCGATTTTAAATATGAGCCAGCAGTGTGCGGCGGCAACCAAAAAAGCCAACCGAATCCTAAACTGCATTAACAGAGGGTTACAACCCAGATCAAGTGAGGTACTAATACCACTCTACAAAGCCTTAGTAAGACCACACCTAGAATCCTGCGTCCAGTTTCGGTCACCACACTATAAAAAAGATGTTGGGACTCTAGAAAGAGTGCAGAGAAGAGAAAACCAGGATGATGAGGAGACCGGAGGCTAAAACATACGACGAACGGTTGCAGGAACTGGGCCTGGCTAGTCTAGTGAAGAGAAGGACCAGGGGAGACATGATAGCCGTCTTCCAATATTTGTGGGGCTGCTACAGAGAGGAGGGGGGTCAAGCTATTCTTCAAAGCACCCGAAGGCCAGACAAGGAATAATGGATGGAAACAGAACAAGAAGAGATTCAACCTAGAAATAAGGAGACATTTTCTGACAGCGAGAACAATCAACCGAAGGAACAGAAGTTGCCTTCAGAAGTTGTGGGAGCTTCATCCCTGGAGGCTTTCAAGAAGAGATTGCACTGCCATCTATCAGAAATGGTGTAGGATCTCCTGCTTGGGCGAGGGGTTGGACTAGATGACCTACAAGGTCCCTTCCAACTCTGTTAATCTAATCTAGTTTCCCCATTGGAGGATCTCCAGGGATCCAAGGATACTCTCTAAAACCCCGCACCAGTGTCACTCATATAACCCACTGGCTTAATAACCACAATAAAAACGATCGTAAGGTTGGATCTGGTTCCCCCGCCGATCTGCTTAATGACGGCACTGCTTTTTCGACCAAAATTTCAGCCCCGATTGTGGTCATGAGGATTATCTGTATTCATTCTTCTTTCCAGTGATGAAATCCACATTTTTTTTACTACCGGTTCTGTCGGCGTGGCTCGGTGGGCGTGGTGTGGCTTGATGGGTGTGGCTTGGTGGGCGGAGAGCAGGGGAAGGATACTGCAAAATCCCCATTCCCTCCCCACTCCTGGGGGAAGGATATTGCAAAATCCCCATTCCTTCCCCACTCCTGGGGGAAGGATATTGCAAAATCCCCATTCCCTCCCCACTTCTGGGGTCAGCCAGAGGTGGTATTTGCCGGTTCTCCGAACTGCTCAAAATTTCCGCTGCCGGTTCTCCAGAACCTGTCAGAACCTGCTGGATTTCACCCCTGCTTCTTTCTCTGAATGGGATTTATTGCTTAGAGCGGCGTTACGAAAGAGAATTGGATCTCCGATTTTAGCACCCCGGGGCAATGCTTTAATTGTTGATGCTGGCTGCTTGGGTGATTTTTATCTTCGCAAGCTGTCTAGGGAAAGTACTTGTCTTTAAATTATTTCAACCAAAGAAGCATGAATAAGCTGTGTTCAAAACACAGAGCTGCTCCGGTGCTGATTAGAAACCACGCCAATAATATCTGCCTCCGCTTGCTATTGTTTTCTTTTCGCGACATTATTTTTCCTTCCTTGCCTAGGCTGTTTTTCGCTGGCGCCCGCGAAGGACATCTTCCCAGCGTGTTGGCAATGATTCACATCCGAAGGTGCACGCCGATACCTGCCCTACTTTTCACCGTGAGTCATCGGTAGAGAAATAAAAGCAGGGGGGGTGATCTGGGGAGATCCCACGTGGGTGGGATCCAATGAGAACCTGCGGTGTTTGTCTACGTCGGCGGCTTGAAGATTGGTGGATTTCAACTCCCATAATTCGCCAGCCAGCATAGTTCCTAAGTACTTGATATGCTGGTGGTAAACCAGCATTCCTGCTGACTGATAAGGGATCCGTTTCCCAGGCTTCAATAATTTCCCAGGCTGTTTTTGTACCTGCTCGGACAACAATCTGAATAGTTGCGAAATTGAACGTATGTCCTTGTTCATGGCGACGTGAAGCTACCAATGAGTTTCGGGTCTCTTCATCTGATCAGTCGCTTGTGTTCTTGTGATCTGGTAGTTGGCTTCCTCCCTATCCATCCTACATAGTCACAGGGGCAACGCCCTGCATCTTATTGAGCTGACTGGAGGGATTCTGGGAGTTGAAGTCCACCCCTCTTCAAGCTGCCGAGGGTGGCGGACACTGATGTGGCTGGCTGTTGTGGGAGAATTGTCCAATTTTGTCAGTAGTTTAAACCAGGGATGAAATCTACTTACCTTCCCTACTGGTTTGGAAGTGCGCGCTCTGTGTGCCCACATGCCCCGTGCAATTTTGGACCTTCTGTGCATGCGCAGAGGGTCAAAAACAGGTTGCTTCCTGGTTAAAACCAGGAAGTAACGACATCCGGGTAGGTAGGCAGAGCCTCGCGCTGCTGCATCTACCGGTTCTCCGAACCATCCGCCGCCGCCGCTACCAGTTCGCCCAAACTGGTAGCATTTCACCCCTGGTTTAAACCCGTCGGCTCATTTCCTTTATGTTGTCTCTGGCAGTGCCTGTCCACCTTGCTTATGCTGGTCACAAGTGACATATATACGCTGATCAATTACGTCGGTTTCATCAACTACCTCTTCTACGGAGTGACAGTGGCTGGGCAGGTCGTGCTCCGCTGGCGCGAACCCCATCGGCCTCGTCCAATCAAGGTAAGAAGAACCCTCCCGAGACACGACTCTGTTTTTGATCTCTCGGCCGTTCTTCATTTTTGCACAGAATTTCTTTTCCCTGGGCACCTGGGGACAGTCAATTTCAGTGCTTCTACTGTAGTCAATTTCGTCCTTTCAAGTGTGGTCAATTTCGCCGCTTCCAGCGCAGTCGAGTTCTCTGCTTCGAATGAGGTCGTTTCTCCACATCCAGCATGGTCAATGTCTCTGCTTTGAGCGCAGTCAATTTCTACATGCGCAGTGTGCACCAAACGCACACTGCGCGTGGAAAAAGGAGGCTTGACAAGATAAGTAGAACAGTGAGGGGGGGGGGAACAACTGTGCCGTGTGATTTAGATTCACTAGAAAGCAGGATTTCTTGTTTTCTAGCAAATATAAACCACACGGCACAGCTGATCATCAGAAATACCGGTTCGGTATTTATTAACTACAGGTTCACCCAAACCGGTAGCTTTTTTTTTTACAACCGGTTCTCCCGAACCGGTGCGAACCGGGTAGCATTTCACCCTTGCAATCTGACTATTTTGCAAGATCCAATCTAGGTCCGTCACCGGGCCCCAAGGTTTAGTTTTCCGAGCTTTTGAACTCGTGCTGGAGAGTCCATCCTCAGGGAACTTCTCTCTAGCAAACAGTGTGCTTTGGGTTACTATTCTGTGCTTCGTATTTATGTGGTGGCTTCCTATTGGTTGATTGGCGGTTTGATGGCCGGCGATTGGCTATGGTTTCCTCGTGCTGTTAACCAGTGGTGGGATTCAGCCGGTTCTGTCTGGTTCGGATGAATCGGTAGTGGCGATTGTGGGAGGCTTCGCCCACCTGCCCGGACATAATTCACAAGGATGTAACGCACGTACTCACATTTGCGAACTGGTAGGGAAGGTAAGTGAATCCCACCTCTGTGTTAACTTTTAAGTACGTGATAAGCTGGTGGTAAATCAGCACTCCTGTTGACTGACAAGAAGTCCGTTTCCCAGGCTTCAATTTTTTCCCTGGCTGTTTTTGGACCTGCTCAGCCAACAATCTGAGTAGCTATGAAATTGAATGTATGTACTTGTTCACTGCAATGTGAGACTCCCAATGAGTTCGAGTCTCCTCGTCTGCCTGTTCCCAGTGTGCGCAGAGCTGCCAAAAGACAAAAACAACTCAGAAAGCAGGGTCAACTCAGGAGTAAAAGCCACACCTTGGAGGTGATTGGCCCCTCCCATAGGAAATAAAAGAGGAGCAAACAGGGAGCGGGCTTTCGCAGGAAACAATTCGTTCGTTCCGTGACTCTGAGAGACTCTGTGCCAAGTTTGGCCTTGTACTGCGGTTGGAAACAAGTTACGTGGCAGCTTGCCAAGCAAGATAAGGTCTGTGTTGATAAATATTCCTTTGAAAAACTGTTTGGACAAACCTTGCTGACTGTGAATGAACGTAATTAACAGTCGGGTAAATAAAAGAGGTTTTGACAGTCCGTTCTGTGACTCTGAGAGACTCTGTGCCAAGTTTGGCCTTGTACTGCGGTTGGAAACAAGTTACATGGCAGTTTGCCAAGCAAGATAAGGTCTGTGTTGATAAATATTCCTTTGAAAAACTGTTTGGACAAACCTTGCTGACTGTGAATGAACGTAATTCACAGTCAGGTAAATAAAAGAGGTAATTCCTGACTCCTGCTTGTTAAGGGAGTTTTTTACATGACCATTGCAGCCCCCCCCCCAGGTCACATGATCTAAATTTAGATGCTTGGAAATTGGCATGTACTTATGACGGTTGCCGTGTCCCCGGGGGAGAGGGGGGGCGGTCACGTGGTCCCCTGTTGCGACCTTCTGACAAGCCAAATCAAGGGGGAAGCCGAGATTCACCGAACAATCGTGCTAACTAGTTTAACAACGGCAGGGAAATCACTTCACACCTGGAGCAAGGAAGGTCCTAAAATGAGGTGTAACTCACTTAACCGCTGTCTCGCTCAGCCACAGAAATGTTGGGCTCTGTTGCGGTCGTAAGTCGAGGACCACCTGTACAGAGAAAGTGAGATTTGGGATACGGATCTGTTCCTCACAGCAATGCTGGTCGAGAGCCTGGTTAAAGAAGCAGAGCGTTTTTTTCCTGGCATTAACGGTCTACGTTCAGAAGGCTGTGAGTTCGATCCTAGGTAGGGGCAGATATTTCTCTCTCTGGACAACAATGAGAATATATCTGCTGAACAAAACTCCGCACTGGCAACAAGAAAGGCATCCGGCCAGTAAACATTCAGCTCCATTCAGTTGCCCCCGACTCCACCCCACAAGGGATGATGGGGTCATTATAAGAGAATGATCCTATGGTTAAAGCTGGTGCAGTGGCCTAGAGGTAGCGCTCTTGCCTCACAATCAGGAGGCTGTGAGTTCGATCCTAGGTAGAGGCAGATATTTCTCTCTCTGGGCAACATTGAGAATATATCTGCTGAACAAAACTCCGCACTGGCAACAAGAAAGGCATCCGGTCAGTAAACATTCAGCTCCATTCACTTGCCCCGACTCCACCCCGCAAGGGATGATGGGGTCGTTATAAGAGAATGATCCTATGGTTAAAGCTGGTGCAGTGGCCTAGAGGTAGAGCTCTTGTCTCACAATCAGGAGGCTGTGAGTTCGATCCTAAGTAGAGGCAGATATTTCTCTCTCTGGGCAACAATGAGAATATATCTGCTGAACAAAACTCCGCACTGGCAACAAGAAAGGCATCCGGCCAGTAAACATTCAGCTCCATTCACTTGCCCTGACTCCACCCCGCAAGGGATGATGGGGATCGTTAAAAGAGGATGACGTTAAGGTCTATAAGTTCAACCCATTTCTCTTCCCCCCCCACAGGTGAGCCTGTTCTTCCCGATCATCTACCTGCTTTTCTGGGCCTTCCTCTTGGTCTTCAGCTTGTGGTCGGAACCGTTGGTTTGTGGTATCGGCCTGGCCATCATGTTGACAGGGGTACCCGTCTACTTCCTGGGTGTCCATTGGGAGAACAAGCCCCGTTCTTCAACACCCTGGTCGGTGAGTGTTGCCCCCCACCTCCCCAGGCAGGGAGGGCTAGGATAGGCCTGAGAGGGGGTTTATGGACGGAAGGGGAGGAGGAGGAGGAGGAGGACTGTGGGGTCCTCGATGCTCTCTGAGCTTGGTGGTTTTCTTGCGGACGTTTTATGACCCAACTAGGTAACATCCTCAGTGCCAAGAGAGTGTGGTGTTTGCTCTCTGTTTATATACTAACGGCTTGACCGCCAACACTGACGGGACACGAGCCACTAGTATATAAACGAAAAGCAAGTCCCACTCCCTTCTAGCACTGATGAGGTTACCTAGTTGGGTCCTGAAAGGTCTGCGAGAAATTAACCAAGCCTAGAGAGCACCAAGGACTCTACGGTCTTCCTCCTCCACTCCTCCAAAATTCCTCCCTTCTAAACTGATGATGTTACCTAGTTGGGTCATGAGATGTCTGCAGGAAAATAACCAAACTCAGAGAACACGAAGGCCCCACAGTCCTCCTCCGTCTCTTCCTCTCCCCTTCACTCCACATACCTCACTCCCTTCTAGCACTGGTGATGTTCCCTAGTTGGGTCATGAGATGTCGTCAAGAAAACAAGCAAGCTCAAAGAACATCAAGAACCCCACAGTCCTCCTCCTCCTCCTCCTCTTCCCCTTCACAAATCTCCCTCCCTTTAGCACTGATGATGTTCCCTAGTTGGGTCATGAGATGTCTGCAGGAAAACAACCAAACTCAGAGAACACGAAGGACCCCACAGTCCTCCTCCTCCTCCTCCTCCTTCTCCTCCTCCTCCTCCTCCTCCTCCTCCTCCTCCCCTTCACTCCACAAATCTCCTTCCCTTGTAGCACTGATGATGTTCCCTAGTTGGGTCATGAGATGTCTGCAGGAAAACAACCAAACTCAGAAAACACGAAGGACCCCACAGTCCTCCTCCTCCTCCTCAACCCCTTCTCTCCCCCTTCCACCTCCTCCTCCTCCTCCTCTACTTCCCCTTCACTCCACAAGTCTCCCTCCCTTCTAGCACTGATGATGTTCCCTAGTTTGGTAATGAAACGTCTGCCAGAAAATCACCAAGCTCAGAGAGCACCAAGGACCCCACCCTCCTCCTCCTCCTCCTCCTCCTCTCCCCCTTCACTCCACAAACTCCACCTCCCTTCTAGCACTGATGATATTCCCTAGTTGGGTCGTGAGACGTCGGCAAGAAAACCACCCAGCTCAGAGACACACACACCCACACCCACACACCCGAGCACTCCCGCTGTGCTCTTTTAACCCGTGACGTGTTTTGGTCTTCTTCCAGATGGCATCACTCGGGTGGGGCAGAAGCTCTGCGTGGTGGTGTACCCCAAGATGGACGCCGGGGAAGCGGCGAACGACCTCAGCAAAGAGACCAAAGAACAGCTGGAACCTATGTGCGGCACAGAAAAGCTTGGCACGCCCCAGGACTGAGCCAACGGAAGGAATAGAAATAGCCAAACATGGATTGCGCTGGGTTTTTTTTTTCGCCACTAGATAACGGTTCCTCTGCTCCCGTCAGCCGGAGCTGGACCTGTTGGGGGGGAGGTCGACCCCCCTCACACCTCACAATACACACACTCCTTTCCCCAGCTTCTTGCAGGGTCTGGGGTCCACACCACACACACACACAATCCCAATTTCCCCCGTCTGCAGTGCCTCCCGATGGGGCGGAAAAGGATGGGGCAACCCCTTAAGAGCTGGCACCCCCTAATTCCTGCTTCTCTCTTGTCCCCCACTTTGGAAAAGCATCTTTTGTTGCTGCCTTATATATATATATATATATTTTGGGGGGAGAGAAATATTTTAAGGGGTGGTGGTGGAACCTCAGCTATCCTGGGAGAATTTCCTCCTGCCGTTGGTGCCCGCGTATTTTCTTCATTTTTCTCTTTTACGGTTTTTTTTTTGAGGGGGGGGATTTTTTTCTCTCCCCCCCCCTTTCGTTTTGGATGTAATAAATTAAACGCCACTCGCCATCCGGATTGCTTCCTGGCTGTGTTGTGGGTTTTTTATTTTATTTTATTTTATTTTATTATTATTATTTTTTGGGGGGGTGATGAAACATCATCTCATCTAGCTAAGTGCCTGTCCCTGGGGGCAGCCCAAGTTTCCATCGGGATTGAGAAACTGTAGTTTAGTCTGGGCTCCGTGCCACCTTGGCAACGATGCGGCACGCAAGCTGTCACGGTGCCATGGAAGCAAGGATGAAAATAACAGGATCTTAGGCTGTGTGTGTGTGTGTTGTTGTTTTTTAAAGAGATGGGAGTGGGGTTAGGTTAGATCAATGTTTTTCCAATGTGAGCGGCTTTAAAATGGGTGGACTTCAACTCCCAGAATTCCTTAGCCAGTACGGCTGGCTAGGGAATTCTGGGAGTTGAAGTCCCCCTGTCAGAAAGCTGCCATGGTTGAGAAATGCGAGGCTAGCTGGGGAATTCTGGGAGTTGAAGTCTCCCTGTCAGAAAGCTGCCATGATTGAGAAATGCAAGGCTGGCTGGGGAATTCTGGGAGTTGAAGTCTGTGTCAGCTTTGGAAGCCATATTAGGCCGGATAGGCATATTAGTCTGTCTATCAGAAAGCTGCCATGGTTGAGAAACGCGAGGCTGGCTGGGGAATTCTGGGAGTTGAAGTCCACCCATCAGAAAGCTGCCATGGTTGAGAAACGCGAGGCTGGCTGGGGAATTCTGGGAGTTGAAGTCTGTGTCAGCTTTGGAAGCCATATTAGGCCAGATAGGCATATTAGTCTGCCTATCAGAAAGCTGCCATGGTTGAGAAACGCGAGGCTGGCTGGGGAATTCTGGGAGTTGAAGTCTGTGTCAGCTTTGGAAGCCATATTAGGCCAGATAGGCATATTAGTCTGCCTATCAGAAAGCTGCCATGGTTGAGAAACGCGAGGCTGGCTGGGGAATTCTGGGAGTTGAAGTCTGTGTCAGCTTTGGAAGCCATATTAGGCCAGATAGGCATATTAGTCTGCCTATCAGAAAGCTGCCATGGTTGAGAAACACGAGGCTGGCTGGAGAATTCTGGGAGTTGAAGTCTCCCTGTCAGAAAGCTGCCATGATTGAGAAACGTGAGGTTGGCTGAGGAATTCTGGGAGTTGAAGTCTGCCTATCAAAAAACTGCCATGATTGAGAAACACAAGGCTGGCTGAGGAATTCTGGGAGTTGAAGTCCACCTATCAGAAAACTGCCATGATTGATAAACAGGAGGCTAGCTGGGGAATTCTGGGAGTTGAAGTCCACCTATCAGAAAACTGCCATGATTGATAAACACGAGGCTAGCTGGGGAATTCTGGGAGTTGAAGTCCACCTATCAGAAAACTGCCATGATTGATAAACACGAGGCTGGCTGGGGATTCTGGGAGTTGAAGTCCACCTATCAGAAAACTGCCATGATTGATAAACATGAGGCTGGCTGGGGAATTCTGGCAGTTGAAGTCCCCGTGTCAGAAAGCTGCCATGATTGATAAACACAAGGTTGGCTGGGGAATTCTGGGAGTTGAAGTCTGTGTCAGCTTTGGAAGCCATATTAGGCCGGATAGGCATATTAGTCTGCCTATCAGAAAGCTGCCATGGTTGAGAAACGTGAGGTTGGCTGAGGAATTCTGGGAGTTGAAGTCTGCCTATCAAAAAACTGCCATGATTGAGAAACACAAGGCTGGCTGAGGAATTCTGGGAGTTGAAGTCCACCTATCAGAAAACTGCCATGATTGATAAACAGGAGGCTAGCTGGGGAATTCTGGGAGTTGAAGTCCACCTATCAGAAAACTGCCATGATTGATAAACACGAGGCTAGCTGGGAATTCTGGGAGTTGAAGTCCACCTATCAGAAAACTGCCATGATTGATAAACACGAGGCTGGCTGGGGAATTCTGGGAGTTGAAGTCCACCTATCAGAAAACTGCCATGATTGATAAACATGAGGCTGGCTGGGGAATTCTGGCAGTTGAAGTCCCCGTGTCAGAAAGCTGCCATGATTGATAAACACAAGGTTGGCTGGGGAATTCTGGGAGTTGAAGTCTGTGTCAGCTTTGGAAGCCATATTAGGCCGGATAGGCATATTAGTCTGCCTATCAGAAAGCTGCCATGGTTGAGAAACGCGAGGTTGGCTGAGGAATTCTGGGAGTTGAAGTCTGCCTATCAGAAAGCTGCCATGGTTGAGAAACGCGGGGGTGGCTGGAGAATTCTGGGAGTTGAAGTCCCCCTGTCAGAAAGCTGCCATGGTTGAGAAACACGACATTGGCTGAGGAATTCTGGGAGTTGAAGTCCATCTATCAGAAAGCTGCCATGATTGAGAAACACGAGATTGGCTGAGGAATTCTGGGAGTTGAAGTCCGCCTATCAGAAAGCTGCCATGGTTGAGAAACGCGGGGGTGGCTGGAGAATTCTGGGAGTTGAAGTCCCCCTGTCAGAAAGCTGCCAGCAGCTTTCTGACAGGCATAATATATATATATTCTATATAAATAAAATATATTTTATTTATTTGTCCAAGTGTCGTTTGACACACAAGGAATTGGTCTCCGGTAAAACAACAGAATATAATAATAATACTAAAATGTACAGCCAATAGAATGGGGAAGAATAAATAATAATACTGCAGCCGCACCTAAGGTGTTAATGTGAATCCACATAAGGCAACAATAACTTATTATTGTGTAGTTATTGTGTTTTGTCAGCTGTGAGAATTAGATGTTCAACAGAGTGATGGCACGCGGAAAGAAACTGGGAGTTTAAGTTAATTGAAGTTTAATTCTGAGAGTTGAAGTCCACTCATCTTAAAAGTTGTGATGGTTGAGAAACATTGAGTTAGAATATTACAGAGACAGAGAGAGACACAGAGACAGAGAGACACAGAGACAGAGACAGATAGAGACACAGAGAGAGGGACACAGAGAGACAGACAGAGACACAGAGACAGAGACAGACACAGACAGACAGATAGAGACACAGAGACAGACAGATAGAGACACAGAGACAGAGACACAGACACACACAGAGAGAGACACAGACACAGACTCAAGCACAGAGAGAGACAGACACAGAGAGACACAGAGACAGACAGATAGAGACACAGACAGAGACAGATAGAGACACAGAGACAGACAGAAAGACACAGAGACAGAGAGAGATACAGAGACAGAGACAGATAGAGAGACAGAGACAGACAGAAAGACACAGAGACAGAGAGAGATACAGAGACAGAGACAGATAGAGACACAGAGACAGACAGAAAGACACAGAGACAGAGAGAGATACAGAGACAGAGACAGATAGAGAGACAGACACAGACACAGAGACACAGACTGAGACTCACAGAGAGACAGAGAGAGACACACACAGACAGACACAGGCAGAGACAGACAGACAGAGAGCGAGACAGACGGAGAGACAGAGAGAATGGTAAATCAAATGGGTTAGTTTTCCAACTAGTAGCCAGAAAGGATTAATTTAGTTCCCCAACTAGTAGCCGGAAAGGATTAATTAAATACTTCAATTGTCAAGCAATTAACCATCTTGAGGGATTGGGCCCCATCTCTGGAAAACCCCAGACATTGAGTTCGATTCAATTTCATTCAACTGGCTGAATTGGAAGCCAAGTGGAACCTGGTTGGAATTTGAAAAGGAGACCACCAAGAGATCACCAATTTTGTAGGATGGAACAGGGCACTTTGGTTCAGCACACGGCGGGGGGGGGGGGGGAAAATCAAAGGGGCTTTTGGGGGGGGTCTTTGGAAAAAGGCAGCCTCTGGGCAGAGTTACATTTCGGGTGTGGTGGGCAAACTACCTTCACTACCTTCAATATATCATGAATTCAGTACTGTCTTTCTTGACGGCAGGGGGCACTACTGAGCTGGCCCTAAAGACAGCTAAGCAGGGTTAGGCCTGGCTGGCACCTGGATGGGAGACTTTTTTAAAAAAAATCCCAGAATCGCAGGCTTGGCAGGGGGAAAAAAACCTTCCTCGACTTAACGACCATTCATTTAGTGACCGAAGTCACAACGGCATTGAAAAAAAGGAAATTATGACCATTTTTTTCATATTTACAACCATCGCATCCTCCGAACAGCCACACGATCAAAATTCGGCCGCTTAGCAACCGATTCCTATTTATGACTGTCGCAGCGTCCCTGGGGGGTCACATGATTCCCTTTTGCAACCTTCCGACAAGCAAGAGTCAATGGGGAAGCCAGATTCACTGAACAACCATATGACTCGCTTCACAACGGCAGGGGTCCGCTGAGCGGTCGTGGCAAGGAAGGTAAAACGGAGCAAAACTCACTCAAACGGATGTCTCGCCGAGCAACAGGAATGTGGGGCTCAATTGTGGTCATAGGTCGAGGATCACCTGGAGTGACTGGCAACATTTTAATTTTAAAGAATGTTAAACCTTACCTCAGAAAATGGCTTACGGATGGATGTTCATTTTTTTTTTTTGTAAAAAATTATTTTTTTATACACAAACACATCAATCCTTCCGTGTGTCATCTGGGCATTTCTTCAGTAACATTTCTTCTTCTTCTTTTTGATTACTCCTCCTATCTTCATTTCTTTCCTTATAATTTCCATTTCTCTATTACAATATTTCCCCCCCCCAAAATACAATACATTTAATATCCCCCATATCTTAAAATATTCCGTATCTTCTCTCTTTCTTTAATCATCAAGGTTAATCTATTCATTTCTGCACAGGCTAAAAATGTTTTAATTACTTCCCCTTCCAACGGGATTTTCTCTACTTTCCATCTTCGCGCAAATACTATCCTCGTTGCAGTTATTATATGAATAATCAAATATACATTTTCTTTACTAATTTTCTCTAGTAGGATACCCAGTAGGAACAGCTCCGGTTTTAAATCAATATGTTGTTGTGTCATTTCCTCTAACCAAATCCTAATTTTGTTCCAATAGACTCTAGCTTCTGAACAGGTCCGCCCAAGGGTGAAATCCAGCAGGTTCTGACAGGTTCTGGCGAACTGGTAGTGGAAATTTT